AGCATGATAATTTGGCCTAGGGGGGTTTTGGGTATGCTGATTTCAAAAGTTGGGGATGGGGGTTGGGGTATGATGTTGGCAGCAAGGGGGGACTGGGGTTGGGGTATGAGTTGGCCCAGGATGACGACTCTAGTTTAAAACTATATAGTATGGCGGATATGTGAAATGGGCGTGCACTTCCGGAAAGAAGCATGATAATTTGGCCTAGGGGGGTTTTGGGTATGCTGATTTCAAAAATTGCGGGAACCAAGACCTCACTCCAGCCTTTCATGTCAAAAATTGAGAAATTCAAAGTGGCTGCCGTTAATCCATAATTTCGCCCCTGAAATTCCTCTCAATGCCCCGATTTCAATTATCTTGATGTCTATACCTATGTTTTTGAGGTCGAGGAATCTAATAAAACACATGTCAAGACTTCTACAGTTTTCCTTCAAATGTTTATCAAAACAAATGTCATAATCCGAATCGATTAGGTAATAAAATGACTATGTATACAAAAGAAATGCATTTAACAATGTATCTTTCTATTTTTCAGAAACAGGAAGCGTCCATGAAGTGTCGATTAGGTGATAATATGACTTCATGTATTCAATAGAAATACATTTAACAACGTATATTTCTGTTTTTTAAACACAGGAAAGCGTCCATGAAGTAATGGTCATCTAGTCAATCATCTACCATGTCTAAAAAACCGCACATCAGCAAGCTTGTTTTTTCTGTGATAGAAATATGGGAGACTTTCATAAAGCAGAAACAATGTCCCTTGATACCTGTATCCTAAAAAAGTCTGGCAATTGGAACGCCAACTCCTACAGTTCCTTAGATCACAGCGTCAACCAAATTTTATGTTCTACTTGGATTCTCTTGGAAAAATTATTCCATGGATGTTTACCCTTGACCACTTCCACTATTCACGATGGATGACAATTCATGTCAAAGATCTTCTTGTCCTGGAGTCCAGACACCTATGCAGAGTTCCTAAAGGCAACTTCGTCACTCAGAAATCTACCAGGTTCATGAACAGCTGAATGCAATGGTGAAAGGAGATGGTGGTGCTATAGGTATCACAGAGAATGAAGCCGTATTGACACGATGGATGGTGGCGGGCCCTGAAACAGCTAGGCTTTTGATTGGGTACTATGAAAAACACTACATGAAAAAAGACACAGATCGCCACCATGAACAGATACCAAGTGTACAGAAGGCGTTCATATCACAAGTCAAGAATGTCACTGATGTGATGGAGGAACTAGGAAACCCCTTTGCAGATACTGGCACAGATTTGTATACGCTTGACACCAAACGAATAATGCCTGATAGCGATGTAAATACAATAAAGTCGGCAGAAAATATTGGCAAAACACAATACCAGAAGTTCGCTGCAGAGCGTATTAATGCTGATTGCACATCATTCAATGACACAATTCACAAAAACAAACTGCCTCTGTTTAATGCTAGTTTGGGAAAGAAGCCTAACAAGTCCGCCACCAAAATCTCCAACTTGTGTGATGATGTTGATCTCTTCTCACGGATGTACATATCATGCCAAGCTCGAGACAGTGATAAGGATGTCTTCTTCATGCATGAAAATCATGCCTGGCCTCCATCACTAGCATCAAATCGCATCATGCACCAATCGACCAAGTCTGACTTGATGGAAAGTTTGAAAGCGTTGGCACCAAAATCAGAATCTACACCACATGTTCATGTTAAAATTGTTGATGGCGCTGCCCTTGTTCACACACTTGATCCAAAGAAGTCAAAGAAAATTGTGAAAACATTCCAGAACTATTCACAGTTGGTGTTCCTGCCCTCTTTAGAACGCATGCTACAGGATGTTGCCCATTTAGATTTTGTCTGGGATATCTATAAGGACGACAGCCTAAAGTCACAAACACGACAGAATCGTGAAACTGGTAACCAAATTCGAGTGGCCAACAACACTAAAATTCCTGCTAATTGGGAGAGCCTGTTCCAACTTATCGCCGATGCTGCACAAGAGTTCCAATCCTCCCAAAGAAAACAAATCATCTCAACAAAAGTCCAGAGCGCTGTTTCATCTTCCTCTGCTGACCTCTCAGACTTGTCCTGCACTCATGAAGAAGCGGACACCCGGCTCCTGTTTCATGCCTCCCATGCATTCCATCAAGGATTCACCAAAGTGATGATACATGCTACTGATACGGATGTGGTGGTTCTCGCAGTTGCTGTATCAGCGTCTTAAAAGACTGTGAAATGTTGGTAGCATTCGGTCATGGTTCTAAACTGAGATACATCCACTGTCATCTAATTTCAGCTGAACTAGGCAATGATACATCATGGGGTTTTCTGTTTATGCACGCGATATCAGGATGTGATATTGTTTCTGCATTCTTCGGAATTGGAAAGAAAACAGCTTGGGCTGTATGGCGCAGTATGCCTCAGCTCACAGCTACATTTGTGCCTTTATCTCATGCTCCAACTCAAGCAACACCCAACGACATGGACCAAATAGAAAGATACGTGGTTCTACGGTACCAGCGAACATTAGGACTTAAGTCGTGTGAATGAAGCCAGGAAATACTTGTCCACTCACAATAGTAAGATGGAAAACATTCCTCGGACGTTGAATGCTCTTGAACAGCACGTGAAAAGGGCTGTTTACCAGGCAGGCTATATCAGGGGACAGACACTTACTGGCGAGCCGGATGTTCCTTCACCAGAATTATGGGGGTGGAAGAGAGTGAAAGATGATTCCCCATGGACTCCATGCTGGACAACCCTTCCAGAGGCAGCCAAAGGTTGTCAAGAACTGTTGAAATGTGGGTGCAAGAAGGAATGTACTCGGCGATGCAAGTGTGTCAAAGCAAATCTGCCATGTACACAGCTATGCTTCTGCTCAGGACAGTGTAATAGAGATTATTAAATGACATTACTATCAAGGACAGGAACTCTTGTGTTAAGTGAGATTCTCCCATACTTTGCCAAACAATCTATAACTAAATGATCAGGTTCGGATTGTTCAAACAATGGTACGCCCTAAAGACATTTTGTCACCTAATCGATTCGGATTATGACATTTTTTAAAATTAAACATTTGAAGGAAAACTGCATTAGTCTTGAATTGCATTTAACTAGATTCTTTAACCTCAAAAACATAGGTATAGACATCAAGATAATTGAAATCAGGGCATTTAGAGGGATTTCATGGACGAAATCATGTTTTGTGGCGGCCATTTTGAATTTCCAGATTTTCGGTGGGAACGGCTGGAGTAAGGTCATAGTTCCCGCAATTTTTGAAATTAGCATACACAAAACCCCCCTAGGAAAAATTGTCATGCTTCTTTCCGGAAGTGCACGCCCATTTCACATATCCGCCATACTATTTAGTTTTAAACTAGAGTCGTCATCCTGGGCCAACTCATACCCCAACCTCAGTCCCCCCTTGCTGCCAACATCATACCCCAACCCCCATCCCCCTCCGCAGCTAACATCATACCCCAACCCCCGTCCCCCTTCGCAGCCATCATCATACCCCAACCCCCGTCCCCCTTCTGCAGCCAACATCATACCCTAACCCCCGTCCCCCCTCGCAGCCAACATCATACCCGAACCCCCCTCCCCCGCCAACATCATACCCCAACCCCTGTCCCCCCCCTCCGCAGCCAATATCATACCCCAACCCCTGTCCCCCCTCCGCAGCCAGCATCATACCCTCCCCCCTCCGCAGTTAACAGAGTTCCCAATGGGGCAGAAATTTCCGAAATGGAGAGAGTCTCAACTTGATATAGATTGTGTACATCTAAAATTAATAATAATTATAGTCAACCATGACCACTGACATCAATTCAGCACTTAGGAGGCGTAGCTGGTATATTTTTGCCTCTACAAACAGACAGACAACCTTATACCAGTATAATGATTATAAAGTTGGGAAAAAAAAAAAAAAAAACAATACCAAAGTTATCATTAATGAGCTCTCTCTTAATTTGAATGCCAGTTTTCTGTGATCAAGTGATTTAATACCGTCAATCTCTCGTTTAACGGAGCAGAGAAAACAAATGAGATCCCAAAGGGATCTTAGCCATTTTTTTTTTCTTGTGATCAGTCCCAAAATCAAACCGGCACAAGGACAGACAAAAGGGAACACATGTATGAAATTTTAAAGATATTCATACAGTACTTCTTAAAAAATAGGAATAACAATCATTACTACGTGAAATTCAAGATGGCTGCCTATTGGCCATTGTGTGTTCCTGATCAGTCCCAACTCAAACAGGCACAACTAGGGATCAAGGGAAACATACACATGAAATTTGTGAAAGATCTATGCTGTAGTTCTCAAGAAATAGTGATAACAAACTTTCTTAACAAGTACTAATTGTAATGGGGACCATTACAAATGTCCCCCAAATGACCCCTTCAGCAGTAAATGATCACAATAATCAGACCTGCAGTCATGCCAAACATGGACTACGCCATTTTTCTCCTAGTGCCACCTACTACATATATACCAATTTTCACGAAAATCGGACAATATCTAAAATTTGGCCAAATTTTGACCACAGCTGACTGCTCAGATGACCGAATGGAAAAATTCATGTGGCCTGCACTCCGCCTTGCATGTATGAATATGTGTGTAAAGTTTTGTTAAATTCCATGCAACAGTTTTTGAAAAACGCGTCGGAAACCTCGCCGGCGGAAGAAAGTGGAAGAAATAAGAATAATATAAATAATAATAATAAGAAACGGAGCAAACACAATATGTCCCCACACTATGTTTGGGGGACATAATTAAAATCCAAAGGGCCACTTCTCAGCCATTTTGTTTTTCTGATCAGACTAAAAATTGAATGGGCACAACTAGGGACAAAATGGAACCTAAATAGGAAATTTGAGAGATATCCATCCAGTTCTTCTTAAGAAATAAGAATAACAAAATTCACTGAAAAAATTCAAGATGGCTGCCTCAGTCTGATATTGACATTGTGAGATAATTCTGCTCATTAACATTTACTCACCTTTATGCAGTCTTATGGGACAAGTGAATTCATCTTCAGCCTCATTAGCTGCAGTAGTCAACGTTAACTCCAGCTCCACACTTTCATAGACATAAAGGGACACATCAGGGGCTCCCTCAAACTGACTAGAACTGCCCGCTGAGGCTGACCAATCACTGTCAGTCTGTAAATCAATATAAGAAGAAAAAAGGGGCTGTTAATATCCCTGTATTACATACTCCTTAAAACACCATGAGTCAACACCAGTTCTAACAAACAAGAGGTTTGATAGGCCTGTTTAATTCACCTCCTCTATAGGTTATGAAGAGATAGTTTCATCTAAAAGAAATCATTTGAAAACTTTCACAGTTTGATCACCAAGATTTTCAGTCAGTACAACAATATCTACTGAAGTCTCTTCGATCATCTAGAAAATGTGTAGCATAAGTCTCATATTGCTTAAGTATATTAATCTTATTAGGTCATGCCCCTCCTCCCCAAGGGGGTTAGATGAAATGTTTGTCCAAGAATACTCCAGATCAAATATTTTTCAAGAATTTGCTCTATTTTCACTTTTGGGACCAGCCCCTCCCACCAGGGTTGGGTTGGAGGTTTGGTTGGGGGCAGGGGTGTATTAAAAAAAACTGTTCATACAAAATCTATACCCATCACCCAAGCATGTCTGGTTCCAAATTGGAATAGGATCCTTGAATTCCTATCTAAGGAAAATGATTTTTAAGACTTTGATTTATTTCCTTTATTGGACCCCAACCCTACCGTCCCTGGAAAACAACACCAAAAGTTTGTACATAAATGATTCCCATACACCCAAGAAAACTTCAGTAAACATATGGGCAATATCAAATCATTCTTACATTCTGAAGGAGTGCAACTTCTGGTGAATTTGATGACAGGACCAACAGTTGGCAGTATTTACCTGAGATTCTGGTGAATTGAAGGGCAGGACCAACAGTTGGCAGTATTTACCTGAGATTCTGGTGAATTGAAGGGCAGGACACACAGTTGGTAGTGTTTACCTGAGATTCCCTAGTACTGGATGACAGGACACACAGTTGGTAGTGTTTACCTGAGATTCCCTAGTACTGGATTACGGGACCAACAGTTGGCAGTATTTACCTGAGATTCTGGTGAACTGGATGACAGGACCAAAAGTTGGCAGTATTTACCTGAGATTCTGGTGAACTGGATGACAGGACCAACAGTTGGCAGTATTTACCTGAGATTCTGGTGAACTGGATGACAGGACCAACAGTTGGCAGTATTTACCTGAGATTCTGGTGAACTGGATGACAGAACCAACAGTTGGCAGTATTTACCTGAGATTCTGGTGAACTGGATGACAGGACCAACAGTTGGCAGTATTTACCTGAGATTCTGGTGAATTAGATGACAGAACCAACAGTTGGCAGTATTTACCTGAGATTCCCTAGTACTGGATGACAGGACCAACAGTTGGCAGTATTTACCTGAGATTCCCTAGTACTGGATGACAGGACCAACAGTTGGCAGTGTTTACCTGAGATTCCCTAGTACTGGATGACAGGACCAATAGTTGGCAGTATTTACCTGAGATTCTGGTGAACTGGATGACAGGACCAACAGTTGGCAGTATTTACCTGAGATTCTGGTGAACTGGATGACAGGACCAACAGTTGGCAGTATTTACCTGAGATTCTGGTGAACTGGATGACAGGACCAACAGTTGGCAGTATTTACCTGAGATTCTGGTGAATTAGATGACAGAACCAACAGTTGGCAGTATTTACCTGAGATTCCCTAGTACTGGATGACAGGACCAACAGTTGGCAGTGTTTACCTGAGATTCCCTAGTACTGGATGACAGGACCAACAGTTGACAGTGTTTACCTGAGATTCCCTAGTACTGGATGACAGGACCAACAGTTGGCAGTATTTACCTGAGATTCTGGTGAACTGGATGACAGGACCAACAGTTGGCAGTATTTACCTGAGATTCTGGTGAACTGGATGACAGGACCAACAGTTGGCAGTATTTACCTGAGATATCCTAGTACTGGATGACAGGACACACAGTTGGCAGTGTTTACCTGAGATTCCCTAGTACTGGATGACAGGACCAACAGTTGGCAGTATTTACCTGAGATTCTGGTGAATTGGAGGGCAGGACCAACAGTTGGCAGTGTTTACCTGAGATTCCCTAGTACTGGATGACAGGACACACAGTTGGCAGTGTTTACCTGAGATTCCCTAGTACTGGATGACAGGACCAACAGTTGGCAGTATTTACCTGAGATATCCTAGTACTGGATGACAGGACACACAGTTAGCAGTGTTTACCTGAGATTCCCTAGTACTGGATGACAGGACCAACAGTTGGCTGTATTTACCTGAGATATCCTAGTACTGGATGACAGGACACACAGTTGGCAGTGTTTACCTGAGATTCCCTAGTACTGGATGACAGGACCAACAGTTGGCAGTATTTACCTGAGATATCCTAGTACTGGATGACAGGACACACAGTTGGCAGTGTTTACCTGAGATTCCCTAGTACTGGATGACAGGACCAACAGTTGGCAGTATTTACCTGAGATATCCTAGTACTGGATGACAGGACACACAGTTAGCAGTGTTTACCTGAGATTCCCTAGTACTGGATGACAGGACCAACAGTTGGCAGTATTTACCTGAGATTCTGGTGAACTGGATGACAGGACCAACAGTTGGCAGTATTTACCTGAGATATCCTAGTACTGGATGACAGGACACACAGTTGGCAGTGTTTACCTGTCAGATTCCCTAGTACTGGATGACAGGACCAACAGTTGGCAGTATTTACCTGAGATATCCTAGTACTGGATGACAGGACACACAGTTAGCAGTGTTTACCTGAGATTCCCTAGTACTGGATGACAGGACCAACAGTTGGCAGTATTTACCTGAGATATCCTAGTACTGGATGACAGGACACACAGTTAGCAGTGTTTACCTGAGATTCCCTAGTACTGGATGACAGGACCAACAGTTGGCAGTATTTACCTGAGATTCTGGTGAACTGGATGACAGGACCAACAGTTGGCAGTATTTACCTGAGATATCCTAGTACTGGATGACAGGACACACAGTTGTCAGTGTTTACCTGAGATTCCCTAGTACTGGATGACAGGACCAACAGTTGGCAGTATTTACCTGAGATATCCTAGTACTGGATGACAGGACACACAGTTAGCAGTGTTTACCTGAGATTCCCTAGTACTGGATGACAGGACCAACAGTTGGCAGTATTTACCTGAGATTCTGGTGAACTAGATGACAGAACCAACAGTTGGCAGTATTTACCTGAGATATCCTAGTACTGGATGACAGGACACACAGTTGGCAGTGTTTACCTGAGATTCCCTAGTACTGGATGACAGGACACACAGTTGGCAGTGTTTACCTGAGATTCCCTAGTACTGGATGACAGGACCAACAGTTGGCAGTATTTACCTGAGATTCTGGTGAACTGGATGACAGAACCAACAGTTGGCAGTATTTACCTGAGATTCTGGTGAACTGGATGACAGGACCAACAGTTGGCAGTATTTACCTGAGATTCCCTAGTACTGGATGACAGGACCAACAGTTGGCAGTATTTACCTGAGATTCTGGTGAACTGGATGACAGAACCAACAGTTGGCAGTATTTACCTGAGATTCCCTAGTACTGGATGACAGGACCAACAGTTGGCAGTATTTACCTGAGATTCTGGTGAACTGGATGACAGAACCAACAGTTGGCAGTATTTACCTGAGATTCCCTAGTACTGGATGACAGGACCAACAGTTGGCAGTATTTACCTGAGATTCTGGTGAACTGGATGACAGAACCAACAGTTGGCAGTATTTACCTGAGATTCCCTAGTACTGGATGACAGGACCAACAGTTGGCAGTGTTTACCTGAGATTCCCTAGTACTGGATGACAGGACACACAGTTGGCAGTGTTTACCTGAGATTCCCTAGTACTGGATGACAGGACCAACAGTTGGTAGTGTTTACCTGAGATTCTGGTGAATTGGATGACAGGACCAACAGTTGGCAGTATTTACCTGAGATTCTGGTGAACTGGATGACAGAACCAACAGTTGGCAGTATTTACCTGAGATTCCCTAGTACTGGATGACAGGACCAACAGTTGGCAGTATTTACCTGAGATTCTGGTGAACTGGATGACAGAACCAACAGTTGGCAGTATTTACCTGAGATTCCCTAGTACTGGATGACAGGACCAACAGTTGGCAGTATTTACCAGAGATTCTGGTGAACTGGATGACAGAACCAACAGTTGGCAGTATTTACCTGAGATTCCCTAGTACTGGATGACAGGACCAACAGTTGGCAGTGTTTACCTGAGATTCCCTAGTACTGGATGACAGGACACACAGTTGGCAGTGTTTACCTGAGATTCCCTAGTACTGGATGACAGGACCAACAGTTGGTAGTGTTTACCTGAGATTCTGGTGAATTGGATGACAGGACCAACAGTTGGCAGTATTTACCTGAGATATCCTAGTACTGGATTACAGGACCAACAGTTGGTAGTGTTTACCTGAGATATCCTAGTACTGGATGACAGGACCAACAGTTGGTAGTGTTTACCTGAGATATCCTAGTACTGGATGACAGGACACACAGTTGGTAGTGTTTACCTGAGATTCCCTAGTACTGGATTACAGGACCAACAGTTGGCAGTGTTTACCTGAGATTCTGGTGAACTGGATGACAGGACCAACAGTTGGCAGTGTTTACCTGAGATATCCTAGTACTGGATTACAGGACACACAGTTGGCAGTATTTACCTGAGATTCTGGTGAACTGGATGACAGGACCAACAGTTGGTAGTGTTTACCTGAGATTCCCTAGTACTGGATTACAGGACACACAGTTGGCAGTATTTACCTGAGATTCTGGTGAACTGGATGACAGGACCAACAGTTGGCAGTGTTTACCTGAGATATCCTAGTACTGGATGACAGGACCAACAGTTGGCAGTGTTTACCTGAGATTCTGGTGAACTGGATGACAGGACCAACAGTTGGCAGTATTTACCTGAGATTCCGGTGAATTGGAGGTCAGGACACACAGTTGGCAGTGTTTACCTGAGATTCCCTAGTACTGGATGACAGGACCAACAGTTGGCAGTGTTTACCTGAGATTCTGTTGAATTGGAGGGCAGGACCAACAGTTGGCAGTATTTACCTGAGATTCTGGTGAACTGGATGACAGGACCAACAGTTGGCAGTGTTTACCTGAGATTCTGGTGAACTGGATGACAGGACCAACAGTTGGCAGTATTTACCTGAGATTCTGGTGAACTGGATGACAGGACCAACAGTTGGCAGTATTTACCTGAGATATCCTAGTACTGGATGACAGGACACACAGTTGGCAGTGTTTACCTGAGATTCCCTAGTACTGGATGACAGGACCAACAGTTGGCAGTATTTACCTGAGATATCCTAGTACTGGATGACAGGACCAACAGTTGGCAGTATTTACCTGAGATTCTGGTGAACTGGATGACAGGACCAACAGTTGGCAGTATTTACCTGAGATTCTGGTGAACTGGATGACAGGACCAACAGTTGGCAGTATTTACCTGAGATATCCTAGTACTGGATGACAGGACACACAGTTGGCAGTGTTTACCTGAGATTCCCTAGTACTGGATGACAGGACCAACAGTTGGCAGTGTTTACCTGAGATTCCCTAGTACTGGATGACAGGACCAACAGTTGGCAGTGTTTACCTGAGATTCTGGTGAATTGGAGGGCAGGACCACACAGTGGTGAAGTTTGCCCTCACATGTTGCAATCACTAGGACAGTTGGAGTCTCTCCTAGACAGCAAACAGAACAAGCATCCACGCCGTAATTGTCTTCAGCTGGGGGATGCATGAGAAGGGGACCCTGGGGTGCAAGCTTCACTGGACTATAAGTAAAAAAAAAAAAAAATCACATTTAAAATCAATTGCAATGAAAGTAGAATAACCAGGGAACTAGACCTGAAAATGGAATCGAAAGGAATGTCAGACTAGTGCTGGGTTGTTATGTCAAGTTAGAGAATAGATTTTGTGAAACCCACCGGTCAACAGTTACGATCATTTATACTGATAATTAACCACCCTTGAAATATAATAAACCATTGTTTCCTCTCTATCTTATTCCTTCAAACCAACAAGTATACTGAGCATTGCTAAAGTAAAACATATCCCCTACCTGCCTAAAAAACATTATTACACTTACTTACAGTATTGACGTAGTATAAAAGCAGAAGAGTTCCGATACAACCAAATTTTTTTTTTCTGACTGGTAAAGTTATAAATATTTCATTTATCACCATCTTTTGACACAGTAAATAATGAAATGTATGGAACACAAGTTAGAATTTAGATCAATAATAAAAGTTAACATCTATATTTCTGTTCCATGTCTACAGTTTATGATCAGTTACACTAAATGTTATCTATTCATTTCTTAAATACTGAGGTACAATACATAAGCTATTGCCTGGACACTTCAGGATCATGACCAATTTTCGACTACGTCAGACCCACCACCAAACTTGTGTTACCTGCTGCTAAGTAAGTCTGTGTAGGCCACTAGCATGTCTCCGTTACCCTTGACCACGTAGGCAGGCCACACAGTGGTACTGTCCATCTGTGATGACAGAGAGAAGGATGCTCGGCGACTCAGTTGTATTGGAGGGCCAAAGTCGAATCCCATGGTTTTCTCGCCCAGTGCGGTCGCCACAGAGATACAGCTGGCGGACTGGCTTGGTTCCTGACTGTCGACGTGGATCACCTGTACTGGAACATCAGGGAACTGTATGTTGTACACACTACAACATACCAACAAGGAGAGTACTATTAGGACATCTTACAGAGACGACTTTCTAAAACTGTCCAAAATGTCCTGGAACAGGGGCTGCCATTGTTGCTATACACCTGCTACATATCTGTTTTGCTCTTTTTGGCAATGGCTGCATAATTCACTATTAATATGTTGTGATTCAATAATGAAACATTCAGTTTCAAATATGAATAAATGTTAAAGTAAGCAATTTTATTTATTGTTAATAGTCGAAACTTGTTATCTCAAAATTCAAGGGACCGTGAAAAATATTTTGACTTATCCGAATTTCCACTCAAATGAAGTGTATGAATAAGGTTGACAATATTGGTTTCCTGACGTTGATTACGGTTGTATGAAGTAGGGCTATGATAGCACACAAACAAGGTAGTTTAATCTGATATTTAAAACAGCAGTAAATAAATAAATAAATTTTATTCTACTTTCTCCTTTTCTTGTTTATTCATCCAAACAACAAAACATGTAATAACAACTCCAATCAAATACATTTGTACTCACGTCGTTCCGTCCCGCACATGTGTACAATACCCTTACTGACAAAGCACATACACATCATATATTTTACCGAATGACAATAAAAGAAATTAACATTTGCTTTTGATACACTACAAGAAATGATGTATAAAGCTACAGATCATATCAGTATGATTTTATTACGAGTAAATAAACATATGAAAAATGTAGCAGTGAAAAGTGAACTGTTAAAGAAAACATTGTACAAGCACTAGACTTAACAAATCATGTACAGATATAGACTTCATCAATACCTTCAGCACTTCACTGTCAAAATACTAAATCTAACAAAGTTTCCGATCACAATCCTTTAGTAAACAAGCTTAAACTGAGCACCATTTCCCAAATTTTGACTCTGGTGAGAACTGAGCACCATTTCCCAAATTTTGACTCTGGTGAGAACTGAGCACAATTTCCCAAATTTTGATTCTGGTGAGAACTGAGCACCATTTCCAAAAATATGAGTCCATTTAGAAAAAGATATACTGGGCTCTCAAAATTTGCACAAGTTCCACAGAAAAAGAATGCAGAATTTATGGACAAGGATCTGAAATAAAATTGTAAAATTTTGCTAATGGAATCTACAGTCAAGATTTTTCAATGAAGTCCTAAAATTCTGCTTGGATGTTTTTCATTATAATAATTTTGGCTGGTCTTAGACAAGGGTCTTAAATAATGGTCTGGTTTTTTTAATCTTTTTGATTAAGTTCTTAAATTTAAGGGGCCACAACTCTGGAAAAAAATATCACATTAACAACAAAATAAACCAAATATTATCATACAACTACATATAAAGTAACTCTTGTATATTTTTGTAGAGTAGATGAGTTGATGTCTCTGACCAGGAAATCGCTGGGCATATATAAATCAACCCAACAAATTTAAAAGACAATTCTTTCTTTTTTATGCTCCCTGAAAATATTTGGGGGAGCATATACTCGCCACATTGTTTTTATAGAGACTACTAGTGAATGAAGGCACTGACCAACAAACTGACCAGCAATGAAGGCAATGACCATGAAACTGACCAGCAATGAAGGCACTGACCAACAAACTGACCAGCAATGAAGGCACTGACCAACAAACTGACCAGCAATGAAGGCACTGACCAACAAACTGACCAGCAATGAAGGCAATGACCAACAAACTGACCAGCAATGAAGGTAGTGACCAACAAACTGACCAGCAATGAAGGCAATGACCAACAAACTGACCAGCAATGAAGGTATTGACCAACAAACTGACCAGCAATGAAGGTATTGACCAACAAACTGACCAGCAATGAAGGCAATGACCATGAAACTGACCAGCAATGAAGGTATTGACCAACAAACTGACCAGCAATGAAGGCACTGACCAACAAACTGACCAGCACTGAAGGCACTGACCAACAAACTGACCAGCAATGAAGGCAATGACCAACAAACTGACCAGCAATGAAGGCACTGACCAACAAACTGACCAGCAATGAAGGTATTGACCAACAAACTGACCAGCAATGAAGGTATTGACCAACAAACTGACCAGCAATGAAGGTATTGACCAACAAACTGACCAGCAATGAAGGCACTGACCAACAAACTGACCAGCAATGAAGGTGTTGACCAACAAACTGACCAGCAATGAAGGCACTGACCAACAAACTGACCAGCAATGAAGGTATTGACCAACAAACTGACCAGCAATGAAGGCAATGACCATGAAACTGACCAGCAATGAAGGTATTGACCAACAAACTGACCAGCAATGAAGGCACTGACCAACAAACTGACCAGCACTGAAGGCACTGACCAACAAACTGACCAGCAATGAAGGCAATGACCAACAAACTGACCAGCAATGAAGGCACTGACCAACAAACTGACCAGCAATGAAGGTATTGACCAACAAACTGACCAGCAATGAAGGTATTGACCAACAAACTGACCAGCAATGAAGGTATTGACCAACAAACTGACCAGCAATGAAGGCACTGACCAACAAACTGACCAGCAATGAAGGTGTTGACCAACAAACTGACCAGCAATGAAGGCACTGACCAACAAACTGACCAGCAATGAAGGTGTTGACCAACAAACTGACCAGCAATGAAGGCAATGACCAACAAACTGACCAGCAATGAAGGCACTGACCAACAAACTGACCAGCAATGAAGGTATTGACCAACAAACTGACCAGCAATGAAGGTATTGACCAACAAACTGACCAGCAATGAAGGTATTGACCAACAAACTGACCAGCAATGAAGGCACTGACCAACAAACTGACCAGCAATGAAGGTGTTGACCAACAAACTGACCAGCAATGAAGGCACTGACCAACAAACTGACCAGCAATGAAGGCACTGACCAACAAACTGACCAGCAATGAAGGTATTGACCAACAAACTGACCAGCAATGAAGGCACTGACCAACAAACTGCCAGCAATGAAGGTACTGACCAACATACTGACCAGCAATGAAGGCACTGACCAACAAATTGACCAGAAATGAAGGTATTGACAAACATACTGACCAGCAATGAAGGCTGTTTCTCATAGGCAAAAACAGGCTGTATCTTGTAGACAAAAACAAGCTGTTTCTCGTAGGCAAAAATTAAACTATTTTCCAAAAATGAAGAAAATATAAAGAAATCATCACAATTTTAAAGAAAACAGAATATTTTTTAATTCATCTATTCACAAACTGCTGTGAAATTTGGGTATAAAACAAAGACTAAATGTGTTTAACTGTCTCATAATTTGACAAATCTTTCTAATGATCTAACAAATTGGTGGCAAATGGATTTGTTCTGGTAAAAATTTTTTTTTTTGAAATGTCAAAAATGAAACTATATGATTTTTCAGACTTGTAATCCCTAAACCAATGAGAGAAAACAGTAATATATTTCAAAGATTCAGACTTATTTCCTCAATAAAAGTCACCTAAGCAATACAAGAACTACCAGGCAGTACATTTAACTATCCCCCGTAATATAGCAGTGCTCATTTTCTCCAGTGAAAGTTGACATTCACACTGCAAATATCACTCATTTTCATATAGACAATTAATTGAAAAGAAAATCCTTTTAGACAACTAACAGATAGATCTTTCATGAAATTATGAAAAGCCATGAGTTTCCAAAATTGAAAAATGACACATTTTCTCTACAATCTATTAATTTTGGAGGAAATCGCTCAAGAAATGTTGAAATCAGCCCGGAAATATAGAGTTATGTCAACTGGAAACATGAATTATTCATGAAGAGTTAATTATTACACTAAATAATGTCAAAACAAAACAGGCCTAATTGTGATAATTAAACAAATAGGACATATTCATTTGTCTGATGTGGAAACAAGACATAAAACGACAAACAGTGACAGATACACACTTACAACCAATCACTGCACAGAAAGAAAGGAAGAATTTCTTTTGTCAGTTTTACAAGTGAAAGATAGAAAGCCACCAGAGGAAGAATACATTGGAAGTGAGTGAGGAACTGAGGAATGGGATGAGAGTTCTATTGAAGCAGGAATAGAGAGAATGTGAAAGAAGGAAGTAGAAATGGAGCAAAGACAGTGAGGGAAGAAGGCATGGAGTGGGAGAGAAGGAGGGAGGTAGAATTGGTGAGGGAGAGAGTGAGGGAAGCAGAAATGGAAAAGGGGAGAGTTAGGGAAGTAGAATTGGTGAGGGAGAGGAGAGAGTGAGGGAAGTAGAATTGGTGAGGGAGAGGAGAGAGTGAGGGAAGTAGAAATGGAAAGGGAAAGGAGAGAGTGAGGGAAGTAGAATAGGAGAGGGAGAGGAGAGAGTGAGGGAAGTAGAAATGGTGAGGGAGAGGAGAGAGTGAGGGAAGAAGAAATGGTGAGGGAGAGGAGAGAGTGAGGGCAGTAGAATTGGAGAGGGAGAGGAGAGAGTGAGGGAAGTAGAAATGGTGAGGGAGAGGAGAGAGTGAGGGAAGTAGAAATGGTGAGGGAGAGGAGAGAGTGAGGGCAGTAGAATTGGTGAGGGAGACAGTGAGGGAAGCAGAAATGGAAAAGGGGAGAGTTAGGGAAGTAGAATTGGAGTGGTAGATAGTGCGGGAAGTAGGAATGGAGTGGTAGAGAGTGAGGGAAGTAGGAATGGAGGGGTAGAGAGTGCGGGAAGTAGGTATGGAGTGGTAGAGAGTGCGGGAAGTAGGAATGGAGTGGTAGAGAGTGAGGGAAGTAGGAATGGAGTGGTAGAGAGTGAGGGAAGTAAGAATGGAGTGGTAGAGAGTGAGGAAGGCAGAACTGGAGTGGTAGAGAGTGAAGGAAGTAGAAATGGAGTGGTAGAGAGTGAAGGAAATAGAAATGGAGTGGTAGAAAGTGAAGGAAGTAGAAATGGAGTGGTAGAGAGTGCGGGAAGTAGGAATGGAGTGGTAGAGAGTGCGGGAAGTAAGAATGGAGTGGTAGAGAGTGCGGGAAGTAGGAATGGAGTGGTAGAGAGTGCAGGAAGTAGGAATGGAGTGGTAGAGAGTGCGGGAAGTAGGAATGGAGTGGTAGAGAGAGAGGAAGGCAGAACTGGAGTGATAGAGAGTGAGGGAAGTAGGTATGGAGTGGTAGAGAGTGCGGGAAGTAGAAATGGAGTTGTAGAGATTGAGGAAGGCAGAACTGGAGTTATAGAGAGGGAGGGAAGTAGTATGGAGTGGTAGAGAGTGAGGAAAGCAGAACTGGAGTGGTAGAGAGTGAGGGAAGTAGGAATGGAGTGGTAGAGAGTGCGGGAAGTAGGAATGGAGTGGTAAAGAGTGAAGGAAGTAGAAATGGAGTGGTAGAGAGTGCGGGAAGTAGGAATGGAGTGGTAGAAAGTAAGGAAGGCAGAACTGGAGTGGTAGAGAGTGAGGGAAGTAGGTATGGAGTGGTAGAGAGTGAGGAAAGCAGAACTGGAGTGGTAGAGAGTGAGGGAAGTAGGAATGGAGTGGTAGAGAGTGCGGGAAGTAGGTATGGAGTGGTAGAGAGTGAGGGAAGTAGGAATTGAGTGGTAGAGAGTGCGGGAAGTAATAATGGAGTGGTAGAGAGTGAGGGAAGTAGGAATTGAGTGGTAGAGAGTGCGGGAAGTAAGAATGGAGTGGTAGAGAGTGAGGGAAGTAGGTATGGAGTGGTAGAGAGTGAGGAAAGCAGAACTGGAGTGGTAGAGAGTGAGGGAAGTAGGAATGGAGTGGTAGAGAGTGCGGGAAGTAGGTATGGAGTGGTAAAGAGTGAGGGAAGTAGGAATTGAGTGGTAGAGAGTGCGGGAAGTAAGAATGGAGTGGTAGAGAGTGAGGGAAGTAGGAATTGAGTGGTAAAGAGTGCGGGAAGTAGGTATGGAGTGGTAGAGAGTGAGGGAAGTAGGTAAGGAGTGATAGAGAGTGCAGGAAGTAGGAATATAGTGGTAGAGAGTGAGGAAGGCAGAACTGGAGTTATAGAGATTGAGGGAAGTAGGTATGGAGTGGTAGAGAGTGAGGAAAGCAGAACTGGAGTGGTAGAGAGTGAGGGAAGTAGGAATGGAGTGGTAGAGAGTGCGGGAAGTAGGAATGGAGTGGTAGAGAGTGCGGGAAGTAGGAATGGAGTGGTAGAGAGTGAAGGAAGTAGAAATGGAGTGGTAGACAGTGAGGGAAGTTAGTAGGAATTGAGAAGTATCAGTCAATATTGACAAGCAGGATTCAAAAGGATGATCAACAGATGTTTGACCATTAGTCTTCCAGCCTTTCAGCAATAAGACCAATAAACATATCACATATTCAAGCTCTCTAGGCGAGAGAAATACCTGAGTATACCATTAGAGGTGAGAAAGTCACAGCTCCTTCCCCTCTCTGCTTACCTGAGTATACCATTAGAGGTGAGAAAGTCACAGCTCCTTGCCCTCGCTGCTTACCTGAGTATACCATTAGAAGTGAGAAAGTCACAGCTCCTTGCCCTCTCTGCTTACCTGAGTATACCATTAGAGGTGAGAAAGTCACAGCTCCTTGCCCTCTCTGCTTACCTGAGTTTACCATTAGAGATGAGAAAGTCACAGCTCCTTGCCCTCGCTGCTTACCTGAGTATACCATTAGAAGTGAGAAAGTCACAGCTCCTTGCCCTCTCTGCTTACCTGAGTATACCATTAGAGGTGAGAAAGTCACAGCTCCTTGCCCTCTCTGCTTACCTGAGTTTACCATTAGAGATGAGAAAGTCACAGCTCCTTGCCCTCGCTGCTTACCTGAGTATACCATAAGAGGTGAGAAAGTCACACCTCCTTCCCCTCTCTGCTTACCTGAGTATACCATTAGAGGTGAGAAAGTCACAGCTCCTTGCCCTCGCTGCTTACCTGAGTATACCATTAGAGATGAGAAAGTCACAGCTCCTTGCCCTCGCTGCTTACCTGAGTATACCATAAGAGGTGAGAAAGTCACAGCTCCTTGCCCTCTCTGCTTACCTGAGTATACCATTCGAGGTGAGAAAAGCCATGTGTGTGTCAGATTCACTCCCAGGATGCCATAAAACCTGTTGAAGCCCTGCTCCTTTGTGACTGGCAAAGAAATGGCTGGCAATACTAATAGATCTGCAATGAAAAATTCATGGAAACTTGTTGGATTATAATACTAGATTACAAACATAAGGATATATGTCACTTCAGTTTAGCTTAATCAACATAAGAGTTCCAATCTGATTGCTCTTAAATACACAGATAATTCCCATAACAAAGGTAATGTCACAAACTATTATGGAGATCAAAGTTATTTCTCTTTAGTCAATCAAGCATTAACAACAACCAAGAAAACTGTACAAAACATGACAACCATCAGGACCACTTAGTCACAGACTTTGTGCTCCACAGGTGAATAGATGTTCACTACTGTGACTTACTTGCAGGATATGGAGGGTTTGCCCCCCTCCAGTTCAGCATATCTCCCCCAGCGTTTAGGGAGTTCCAGAACAGTGATTCCACCTTTTCCCCATAGGGCTACAAGACTACCAGTGAGGTTAAAGGTCAAGAATTCAACTTCAAACCTTGGTGCATTGGAACATAGAAGGATCTGCAAAATAAAAAGATGAGTTTTGTCTTAGCTGTTCTGTGGCCATGCTTTCAGTAAAATATGATCAGTAGAATTTAGAACAAGAGTACCACAGGGTGGAAGAACAATGAATTAAAGCATGTCAAGTTTTACAGATATGTGCAAAAAAATGTTCAAACGTTTTAACACATTTGACCCATGTGACCTTGAAGATTGGTCAAGGTCATTTCTTTAAGCAAACTTTGTAGGACACCATAAGAGGACCTTGAATACAGGTCATTTCTTTTTGCAAACTTTGTTGGGCTTCATCAAAGGAACCTTCCAGTTAAATATGTTAACTCTACGCCTTTTGGTATTTCAGAAGAAGTTGTTTAAATGAAAAGATGATGGACGCAGGACGGACAGACGCTGCCCTGTGGCATAACCTCACTTGGCCCTTTTTTACTTACTAGAACTGTTTTTGGTAACATTTCCCCTATTTTGTAGAAATTTCCCAACATTTTCAATATATTTTCTTATTGGGAAATTTGTTTATATACAGAAGGGCAGTGTACTACTTGTGGAATAATATGTTTTTCTGCTAATAAAAACTGTTTGGATAAACCCTTGCACAATCTTCTGCTGTAGTTTTCAAGCCTACCAAGTATCAAAGAAATTGGTTGAAAACTAAGGGAAGAGATATCTGGGCAACATGAAAATGTTAAAAATGACTTCGAATGAAATCTTACTAAGAAGCTGTTTTCCATGATGCAGATGGTAGTTTTGGTGAGGAGTAGGTAGCTGTAAAAAGTGTTACTTATTTTTTATAGTAAAGTTGGATCTTAATCCAACAGATGAAACTTGAGAATAAGTGTGACATAGGTGTTGCAAAGGAAAACCATGATTGTGCAATCATGTTACCAAATAGCCTCCCTGACTGCCATATTCAAGTTTTGACAAGATCGAAAAATAACAACACTTTGTTGGCTACCTTTCCTTAACATTTCCACCAATTTTTAGCTCAATGGCACCAGTGGAACTGGAGAAGAAGTTTTAAATATGTTTTTAAACATGGCAGCCATCTTGGATTTTAGAAAAAACCACAAAATAACAACACTTGGTCAGGACTATCTCAGGATCATTTCATGCAAGTTGGAGCTCAATCCCACTGATGGAATTTGAGAAGCAGTTTGAAATATCAAAAGTTTGCGCACGGCGGACAACGCCAGATGAAGCACAATGGCTTTAGGTCATCATGATCCTTTAGGTTAGATGACCTAAAAAAAAAAAGTGAGAGTAACTCTTCCTAAAATTGTGAAGTCACAGTCTATTTAGGAATACATAATTTGATGTAAATACTTCCAAGCCTTACAAGTTTGAGGGAAATCGGGGAAAAAGAAAAGGATATGTCAACCAACTGTATCATATGAACCTTGAAAATAGTGTGATGAGATGGTAAACAGATTCAGCTTCAAGTTATAGCACAGCCAGAAAAGGTGGTCAATTCCTTACGATCTTCTACACTATGCATGTCAGTGGTAGGACGCTCCACTCTAGTCATTTGTCTGATGAAGGTGACAAAAAGACCCTTTTGTCAATAAACATCAGAGGGTATAAGATAATATACATCAAATAATAATTGGAAACTAATGCTACATATCTGTCACACTTGTCAATAGTAGAATAACAGCATAAATTTGTAAGAAAATTTTCACACACACTAATGACAACGATTAATCTGTCTATGAAATACCAAATTCTCAGGTCATAGCTTCATCTTCCCCGACACATCAGAGCACAACTGTATCTAAACATTGTTTATCTTTTCTTGCAAAAATAGCAACAGCACTAACTTTTTATCCATTTTTTTTTTGTAAATCATCTTTTTTAAAATTCATTATTAACACACTTTAAAGAAGATATACAGCTGATAGAATACATTTTGTAATTCACTTCCTTCATGTGATACACATCATTGCCGTTTTAGTATTAAGAAAGGTGGGCCCTATTTATCTCATTCGGGCATAATTCACAATATGGCCTCACTCCTTACATATACAAAGATCGCTCCTCGAAATAGCCAAACCAATCATGAATTGATCCAATTTCTACATCAAATGAGAAAACAATGCACTTTTTCCATAAAGCCTGAACTAAACATAAAAATTTTGTCACCTCAAGATATTTTGTATCGTACTTAATTACCTCCCTTTGCCCACTACTACAAATCCCCTCAGGCTATGTAGGAGTCCAGTTAAATCTAATCTGTATAACAGTTGTAATGAATGGCTTTTAGTTGATTACTAGAAAATGTCTGTAAGACATGAATGCCCCCCCCCCCCCCCCCATGTGAAAGGTCCGAAAGAGATAATTTTGTTAATTTGTATGCAACTATGTACAACTTAAGTTTCATACTTAAATTGACAAGTTGATTTAACGTACATGAATTTGGAATTTTGTTCTCTGGAAAAAATGAGGGAGTATATTAGTTCCTTATGCCTTAAAACCCACAAGTACCAAATTATGTAGAAATAAGATGATGTTCCTCTTTTTTGAGTTATCTCCCCCTGGTGGCCATCTTTTTTTAGAATGCAGAGAAATTCAACACTGCATGAGGTCTTTCCATACTTGATATTTGTATGAAGTTTCATGAAAATTGCCTTCCGAATGAAGTTGTTAGGTGGTATATACTGATTTGGGACGGGACGCGATGGGACGGGACGGGACGGGACGGACGGACATGGGCAACGCTATATGCCCCTGGCCATAAATGGCGGGGGCATAACAAAACTGTTTAGCTTCATCAAGTTCAAATTTCATAAAAGTCAAATGTAATTTAACACTCCTTACCTGATGTAACTATTTTTTTTGAGAATTTTTATATCATTATATTTTTTATCAACCACTAAAGAGATGTCAATATATACAAGTAAAATTAATGACTGCACTAATCAATTAATCACTGAATGATGATCCAAAGGTGTTAGATTTAATTTACAACAATGTGCTAGTAAAGATCACTGACAAAACCTGGGTGGTGGGGTGATGGGGTGATGGGGTGGTGGGGTGATGGGGTGATGGGGTGGTGGGGTGATGATGGGGTGGTGGGGTGGTGGGGTGGTGGGGTGATGGGGTGATGGGGTGATGGGGTGATGGGGTGGTGGGGTGGATGGGGTGATGGAGTGATGGAGTGATGATGGGGTGGTGGGGTGGTGGGGTGGTGGGGTGGTGGGGTGGTGGAGGGTGTGGTGGGGTGGTGGGGTGGTGGGGTGATGGGGTGATGGAGTGATGATGGGGTGGTGGGGTGGTGGGGTGGTGGGGTGATGGGGTGATGGGGTGGTGGGGTGATGATGGGGTGGTGGGGGTGGGGTGATGATGGGGTGATGGGGTGATGGGGTGGTGGGGTGATGGGGTGGTGGGGTGATGGGGTGATGGGGTGGTGGGGTGATGGGGTGATGGAGTGATGATGGGGTGGTGGGGTGGTGGGGTGATGGGGTGATGGGGTGGTGGGGTGATGGGGTGATGGAGTGATGATGGGGTGGTGGGGTGATGGGGTGATGGAGTGATGGGGTGATGGGGTGATGGAGTGATGATGGGGTGGTGGGGTGGTGGGGTGATGGGGTGATGGAGTGATGGGGTGATGGAGTGATGATGGGGTGATAGAGGGGTGATGGGGTGATGGAGTGATGGGGTGATGGAGTGATGATGGGGTGATAGAGGGGTGATGGGGTGATGGTGGGGTGATAGTGGGGTGATGGTGGGGTGGTGGTGGAGTGGTGGTGGTGGGGTGATGGGGCGATGGTGGGGTGGTGGTGGGGTGATGATGGGGTGATCGTGGGGTGGTGATGATGGGGTGGTGGTGGGGTGAGGGTGGGGTGAGGGTGGGGTGGTGGTGATGGGGTGATGGTGGGGTGATGGTGTGATGGTGGGGTGGTGGTGAGGTGATGGTGGGGTGGTGGTGGGGTGATGGTTTGGTGATGATGGGGTGATGGTGGGGTGATGGTGTGGTGGTGGAGGGGTGATGGTGGGGTGGTGGTGGAGTGGTGGTGGTGGGGTGATGGGGCGATGGCGGGGTGGTGGTGGGGTGATGATGGGGTGATCGTGGGGTGGTGATGATGGGGTGGTGGTGGGGTGAGGGTGGGGTGAGGGTGGGGTGAGGGTGGGGTGAGGGTGGGGTGAGGGTGGGGTGAGGGTGGGGTGGTGGTGATGGAGTGATGGTGGGGTGGTGGTGGGGTGACGATGGGGTGGTGGTGGAGTAACGGTGGTGTGGTTTTGGGGTGACGGTGGGGTGGTGATGATGGGGTTGTGGTGGGGTGATGGTGGGGTGATGGTGGGGTGGTTGTGGGGTGGTTGTGGTGGGGTGATGATGTGGTGGTGGGGTGATGGTGGGGTGGTGGTGAGGTGATGGTGGGGTGGTGGTGGGGTGATGGTTTGGTGATGATGGGGTGATGGTGGTGTGATGGTGTGGTGGTGGTGGAGTGATGGTGGGGTGGTGAAAATGGGGTGGTGATGATGGGGTGGTGGTGGGGTGATAGTGGGGTGGTGGTGGGGTGATGGTGGGGTGATGGTGTGGTGGTGGTTGGGTGATGATGGGGTGGTGGTAGTGGGGTGATGATGTGGTGGTGGTGGGGTGATGGTGGGGTGGTGGTGGGGTGAAAATGGGGTGGTGATGATAGGGTGGTGGTGGGGTGATAGTGGGGTGGTGGTGGGGTGATGGTGGGGTGATGGTGGGGTGATGGTGTGGTGGTGGTTGGGTGATGATGGGGTGGTGGTGGTGGGGTGATGGTGGGGTGGTGGTGAGGTGATGGTGGGGTGATGATGGGGTGATGGTGGGGTGATGGTGTGGTGGTGGTGGGGTGATGGTGGGGTGATGGTGGGGTGGTGGTGAGGTGATGGTGGGGTGGTGGTGGGGTGATGGTTTGGTGATGATGGGATGAGGGTGGGGTGATGGTGCGGTGATGGTAGGGTGATGGTGGGGTGGTGGCAGGGTGATGGTGGGGTGGTGGTTGGGTGATGATGGGGTGGTGGTGGTGGTGGGGTGA